CCCTGCGTCCTGATTGGACAGACCATAAATTCGGTTGGGGAAACCACTTTCAATGAGCGGGTTCCCAGATGTATGTGAGTGGAGCTAGGCGGAGCGAGACATGCATCTGGCTGTTGTCAGGTTACCTTTTTAGGACACGTGAACCTTGTGTATGTGGGGGGGACACAGATAGAGAGACAACTTTCTCATGTTTTATTCTTTATATCAACTTTGGTTCATTTCATCATCTTATATTTTACTTTTGTTTGTTCATAAACTTAGAGAAAGGCTGCCTATGTAAAGTATTGTATTAAATTACTCACCATTGTAATTATTATTTTATAAATAAGTTTTTATTATTATAAACTCTAGCTACATTGCTTAGAACCTCTCAAACAGCATGAAACCGCCTCATTATAATGGGGCGGGCTTAAACTGGTTTGCGCTTTTTAACATCTGCTTAGCAATCTTTAAAGACCACTTGCAACACAGCCACTAATTGCAAGTACTGATGAACAATGTGCAATGCAATCTATCCCTTCGTTTTTTGCAGTCTTTGAATAACAGACCTATAGTGAGTAATTCCTGTAATTGTTAAAAAAAAAGAAAAACATTCAAGAAACACCAAACAAATCTCAGCAAGAGTTCGTTAAGCCATTAAAAGCACTTGGAAAGGGGAAAACCTCATAATTACTAAATCACGACTACAAAACACAGGATAGGAGAACTCAGGTAGAGCCAAATGAGACTAATAGTTAATTATAAGATTCATCTAAACGAATGGATGCGTTAGAGGATTGTAGGGTAGTTTATAGGTGGATAGACAGAGGGGAGATAAAGTACTGCGTCCTAAATCTCTGCCTCCCTGGAGTGCGCATGTGTCTGCTACCCTGAGTCGATTCTGAAGCAGTGTAAGTTTACATAGGCTCTTCATCTGGAAATCCATATAAGGCAGCAGAAACATGCGCTCCTTAGGGAATAAAAATGGAAAGTCAAGCACAGGGATGCGTGTTTCAAGGGGAAAGAAGAACATCAGGGTTCTCCACAGAGCAGCAAGGCCAAGTAACACTGGGTTGTTACCTGAGTCATACGAATATGAGCCTTTGGCTGTAAAGCAAAAGCAGTAATGTTGATGCATAACAGAAAATACAAAAAAAAATTATATATTGCATCATCATCCATACCATGCAGATGAGAAATCAACTCATTTAAAATCTTAATTGTATAAACAAGGTTTTTTATTATGTCAAACAGAGCACTTAGAATAAATGCTTAGTGACAATACTAGTGTGCAACTGAGTGGACTCACTCTGCAGCCGCCGCGTTGGGCTCTCGCCGTGGAGCTGCCTGCGTTGGGAATTTGGGGAGGCACGTGGCAGTGGCATGGATGACACGTCGTGTGTTTGCAACTTGTACCAGTGAGGTTCGTCGTCCAAGAGAGCCGTCTCCAACTCGATGAGGATCTAACGGAGGAAATCGCTTCATTAAGTGATAGATCATGGGATTTTTTTGCGATTCTGTAGGTGTTTTATATAGCAACAAATTATCTAATATTTTTCTCTCAATCAAAAGATTTAGAGAATTTACATCTTGTGGAGTGGAAATTAGATGTTGAGACACAATAAAAGTCAGGTTAGAAAAAAAAAAGAAAATAAAGAAAAAATTCCTGTACTATCTCCTTAAAATGACACCAATGAGAAGTTTTTGCCCATAATACTTCTGAAATACAGTTTCTTTGAGCAAACTAAGCAGTAAAGTTTGGTAATTTTTCAACATTTTCCATTCTACTGGACTAAATCTGAGCAAAACATTATTTTAAATCTGAGAAAAAGTCCCAAGATTTCCAAAAAGGACAAATGACCAAATATGGTATTTAATCATAGAGTGAAAATAAAATATTTCTGAATTTCTAAGACCTTTTTTGAAAACTGTTTGAATGTATCTATTTATATATGACTTAATGTATTATGCAGACCAAAAAAGAAACAGAAACTGAACTAAAAAACATCCTGATCTTGATTCTTCAAGAAAATATGAACCAAACCATTAAACATCCAATAAACAGGGAAAGTGAAAATTAAAAATTATTTGTATATGAATCATTTCTAACTGTACAAAAATGCTTTTTGGACATTACATCAACAACTTCAGGTCATTAAAACGAGAAACTAAACCATTTATCAACTGTACAGAACCATATTGATCAGAGGAAATCCCTAAATAAAAAGTCTGACATATTTTTTAATTTATGAGGAAGATCTAGTATTGCTTAAGTGAGCAGAGGTGTCAAGTAATTCAATATAAATAGTTAGTTACCATAATCAAGTTGCTTTTTCCACTATATGTACTTTTTTACAGTATTTATTTTTCTGAGGACTTTTTACTTTTACTCCCAACATTTGAACCCAGATATTTGTACTTTCCAGTTTGCAAAGTTTGTTTATAGTAAAGCCCTGATAAAGGCAAGGATGAAGACGAGGGGCTGGAAAACATTACGTAGGATAGATCTAATTGTTAGGCGCATGACAATCTGCATCCATTACCCTTTATTAGATTTTACTTTTACACGTTTGTTATGTTTAAAGCTCTATTTGCAACTTTAATGCTGTAAATATCAGAGCTCTAAAAGTATTTAAAAGCTTAAGCAGAACTTATGTTGCGTTAAATGTATATCATCCTGTCTGAAATTTTGATTTGGAATAAACTAAACCACTTTACTATTTCCAAATCTTTTCACTAGCAAAGCAGTGAGCAATAGAGGGAAATCAAAGTCTTTTTTGTTCATATAACTATTTTTAAGAAGAGATTTTAACTTAATTTTACATCAGTAAATAAGTAATTAGTACTTAGTAATTAAGTGCAATGTAGAACCTGTACTTTTACACTTTTACTTAAATCTAATAAGTGCTTTTACTTTTACCAGAGTTTATTTTTATGCAGGTTTCTTTACTTTTACTTCAGTAAAGAAAGTGAGTATTTGAGACAACTCTGTTGGTCAGCAGAGAGCATGGCTGGTTACCTGGTTTAAACCAGATCTTTTAGCTCTTCTAAGAAATAAGGATCTTTTCATGTTCTATGAATAAATTATCCAGTGACAAAACAACATTCGTAGTTTTATTGAATTTAGTAAATTATCTATATATGCTTCATCATTGTTTGTGTAAATTCAATTGTTTAATGATAGTTGTTGTCTCTCTGCTGCAGTTTACAGGCCAGTATGTTTAAAAAAAACAAAAATCTATTCCTTTATAACTTAGATCTAGAGTTACGAGAAGTTAGTGTGACTATGAATTAATACAGCTAACTTTTGAAAGATTGTATAAATAGGTAAAACAAAAAAAAGGGACGATCTGAATTGTTTTAATCTAAAGCAAACTAAAGGGACAAATAGTGTATCGTCTTTGGGTGAGCCATCTGTCTGACGTGATGGAGAGTTAAAATGCTTGAAATTCAACACATGATCACATCGTTTGACAGTGGAAGGCGTTGACCTTTGACTTCCTTACCTCTCCCAAGAATTCACTCTCCTCTTCCCTGACCCGGGCCTGGTCCCACAGCGTGATCTCCAGCATTCGCTCGCGGAACTCCCGCCGGTGGACCGGCGAATACATAAAGGTCTGATTCCATTTGGGCTCTAAGGATTTCTTTACTGTTTTTGTTCTCCTCTTGCTTTTATCACTGGAGGAACAATAATTCAGACTGTTTTTATTTAGAACCTTTATAGAGAAGAGCCGCGAATACAAGAATTAAACGACACTGCACAGCACAGGACACTGAACGCAGCACCACGACATGCTCATTATGAGAGAAAAAGATTATTTACTGCACTGATGCTTAAAAAAAAACTCTTGCATGATCCAGCTACACTCAAGAAAAAAGCTTTAAGGTTCACATCCAACACTCTGAATTAAAACACGCACATATTCATCCAGCTTTTAATGATAGGAACAAGAAAATGCACACAAGCTTGTGACGTCAACAGGTCAAAAAATTCAACAGCAAATAATGATCTACTATACATTAAAAACATCCAAACAAAGTGTAATATTTCATAACATTTAGTTTATTCAATGAATCTGCATCATATCAACTGACATTAGATATCACCAAGTTATATTAGTCTTACCTTCTGTCAGGCAGGAAGTAGATTTTGACATAAGGGTTCCTGGGACGGCCATCTTCCCTTGGTGGCAAGTCTTTGGCACCCAGAATAGTTACAATAAGCTGATGACCCACTTTGTCATACCAGAGTTTGACCTGTAGGGGGCAGAGCCATCAAAACATGCTGAGACATCATCAGGAACCAACAAGAACAAATTAAACACAAACATAACAAAGCAAAGAAACAAAAAAAGAAAATAACTGAGGGGTTAATGCAGGAGATGACTTCATCACACCAGAGCAGAAGTTAGTACGCCTCAATCTGTGTCTTCCTTCACTGAGTGTAACGACCGCCTGTTTTTAATCATTGTTTGGATTCCATACTGGATCTTCACATTTATCTTCCCATCAGAGCAAAGAGGAAGTTGCTTAAAGGATATTACGTTTTGTGCATTAAGCAGAATACTTATCTTACTTTGCTTTCTTCAGATTTCTTATTTCCTATAAACTATTATTCATTTTACAAGTTGCTGCTTATATTGACAAGAGCATCAGTTTTTAAACTGAACTAGCTTTTTTGGATTGTGTAGAAATTTAAATGTACCAAAAACTATTAGTAAAGCTTTTTCATTTATTATTTTTTAAAGTAATTTCTTAAATTGTTGTTTTTATTCTTAAAAAAATCTAAGTCTGACCCCCCAAAAAAGTTTACCCTTATATAGTTATATAGGGTTATATATATTATATACTATATATATATTCATTAGATGCTTGTTGAGATTTCAACAACCAAAAACAATTTTAACATATTAAAAGTAAAGCGTCAACATGTAACGTCATCCTGACAAATTCAGTTTTAATTAGAGTTGTATTGATACATTTTAATAATAATTTCAAAACCTCGAAATTGTTCAGGTTTTGATTTTATTAGTTTTGAAATCACTGTAGATGGCAGCATTTTGCCTTTTTAAATTATACATTGATTGGACAGATATAAATGATTCAGAAGCAGCGCAAGAATACTGCAAATGTCTTGAAGTTTCCTATCTGCTGTAAAGATAAATCTGATCATTTTGATGTCGTACAACTTGATTTGAGGAACTCTGATTTAAAATCTATGTAATTTTCCCCATAGAGAGTCAAACCTAAACTGAATAGATCTATACAAAGTAGAGTCCTTTACACAAACTCTTATGTGATCTTTTCTCCTGTTTATAAAACAAAATCCTAATAAATAAGGTATTGTTCTCCTTGTTATCCATTGTCGACACTTAATCCTTTTGTCACCGTTTTGGTTCTGTTTAAGTTTTCTTTTGAGTATTTAGTTTCACTTTGATCCATGTTTTTCATTGTTTTCTAGTTTTAGTGGTTTAATTCCTATTTTGTGGTGTTTTTGGATGTATTTGAGTTCTTAGGTTTTTCTTGTTTGCCCTCTGCTGCCCTCTTGTGTTGGTCTCCTTTTCCCTGGCTCCTTTCTAGAATCCTCTGTTCACACCTGCTCCCAATCAGCTCGTTAGTCCTGTCTTTGTTCTGTTTCCCATATATACTCTCCCAGTGGAGTTCCTCTGTGCTGGTTCCTTGTCTTTTCCTGGCTCCCCACATGAGTTTTCCCCTAAAATAGTCTGGTATTTGGTTCCTTGTATTTTGTACTTTGGTTTTTGGATTTTTGCTTCAGATATTTCATTAAATCTACAAGAACTCACCTCTACCTCCTCACCTCTGAATTTGGGTCCTCAAAACCTCAACCAAACCCTGACATCCTTTATCTTCTTTTTTTTTTTTTTACTAAATGTGTCATAAAACCATCAGTATAGATGAATACCAATACTCATAATGCTATTTTAACTTAAATAAACTAAAGTTTAAAGTATTGTGTTATAAAATATATACCATAGATTTTTTTTTTTATTGATTCAGTTGTTGTGGATAACCATCAGTGATTTGTATATAGAAATCAATCATGCTGATTAAGTTAAAGGGGAAGTATGGACTCCAGTGAAAGACACTCAAAAGATGGAAAAGTTTTCATGAAGCCTTAAGAACAGCAGATGAAATGAGAAACAAGGCTTCAAAATGTTTGTCCATACTTCGTTCAAAATATGATCATGAAAGGGAGTCCATTGTTAACAAATACCATCTTTCATGCAGCAATGCGAGAGGATTAGATAAAGACACCTAAAGTTCACTAAAGCAAAAAAAAAAAAAAAAGGTTAACAAACTGCAAGGTCTTTATCTGGCTTTAAAAAGGAAAAAGAAGAAAAATGTATAAATCCCTATGGAAAATTAATCTGAAGCATTTAAAGATTTTTTTCCCCTTTCATTAAGTGAATTAATGTAGTTAAAATGAAGCCCAATTTACCTTAAATCCAGTCCTATAAATTAAGTTCTATACTTCTATACTTTTTAAATGTTTCTGTTTCGACACTGCTGAGTCAAATATTTAGGTCATTATCAGGGCTGGAGAACTTTATTGCATCCAGAAGAAGCTTCAGCTATTTAATTTAGGTGTGTAGAGGAAGAGACGTATCTGAAAAGGTGCAGGAGACAGAACTGCGAAAATGGACATTCCTGTACGGTGAGATTAACTTGAACATAGTGACCAAAAATCAGCTGATTTTCTACTTTTAAAGCAATTAAATTAATCATATCTACAGTAGCTGAGTGGAGCAAAGCAGAATGTGCTCTAGTATAAATTCAAGATCAAATTACGCTAACTACAACACTCTTAATTGTGATGTTTTTTACTTCAGAATGAAAGATCAAAGTTACATATTCTAAGGTTCAATCTAAACAAACTCTATTTAAAAATAATCCAAAAAAGACCTAGACTTCAGTGTGTGTTGGTCATTTTAATTTTCTACAAATTTTGCACTTTTGGAAAGAAAAAGCATAGTTTAGCAGATTTTCTGAGGACAGAAGTGACGATGGGTCACTTTGGCCCTGGAGCTGTCTTCAGGTGATACCAGGAAAACTAAATGTGCCACAGCAAAGTTTCTTTCTTATTCTTCTCAGCCATGTCTACTGTGGAATAAGCTCTTTTGGAAGTCTAAAAATGTAAGATCTGCATTCCTAGGTAATAATAATAATAATAAAAAAAAAAATACAAAGAGAATTAACACTAACTGCACCTACAATGCTAATTGCTAATATAAGATTTCAAATTCAGTTCACACTATTCTTAAACCTCTGTTTTAAAGTTAGTGCTATTTTTTAATGCATGTTGGGAAATCATTGTTTCTAATAAGTATGGAAGAGGAAAAAAAAAAAAAAAAGTTAACCGATTTTTAAATTTTTCTGTTTAATATGGAATCCTGACTTTAATCTCAGAATTCTGACTTTATTCTCAGAATTTGGGATCTTAATCTTAAAGGGCACCATGAAGGAAGAGATGTGGGAGCACTCAGCTTCACTGACAAAGATGCAAGTTATTTGGGAGGGCCAGTAACACATTGGTGGAAAATGACGGAATAAGGTGACTTTTTATGTGCTGGAGGGGTCCCCAGTGATGCTATTTCATTAATAGAAGAGCAGAAGGTGATTAAAAGAAGAGAGCTAGTTTAGTCTCTATAGACATGGCTACGGCTTGATGCTAACATGTTTGATAGCTGTCGAAATTCAGTCAGAATTCTGAGAAAAAAGTCAGAATAATGAGATTAAAGTCAGAATTCTGAGAAAAAACGTCTGACTTTTTTCACATATTAAACTGAAATCATATTTAAAAATCAGTTAACATTCCTTTAATTTTTTCAGTGGCCCTAATCCTCTTCTGTAAATAAGAAACTGAAATGATGAAAATTTACAACAGGAAAAGAGAGAATTTTTTTTTAATTAAAATAATCCTCAAATATAATATATTAATATAATTATTTAAAAAAATTATGAAAAAAAATATTTGAATTGGCAAGTCAAAGCTTTATAAACATGAGTATCATCTGAATCAGTTAAAATATCTCTAAAAATAACCCGTTTTTTTTTTTTTTTTTTTCAACATGAATTTTTTTTTTGCTTCAAATCCCATTATGAATTTTTTTTTTTTTAAACAAATGCTGCATTAGACACATGAACTGTGCCCCTGGTTAGAAAGACTACAACATATTTTTCTGTGAAGTGTATCCTGTTAGTTAAAATCCCAAAAAGCTGAGCATGTGCAAAGGCCATAGTTGCTCAATTACAGATAACGTCAGATTCTACTGCTTTGTTGGATTTATATGTTTCAGATCTTCACATAAATTGGTTTTAAGATGATGCCATTTGTCAAGTAACACGTTATCCTTACTGTACTTAACTGCACCTATATAAAGCTAAAACCTCCCCCCCAATTAAGAGCTAATTAACCCATAGTTCAGTTTTGCTAGCCAAAATATCAGGGCTAATTTCTGACCTAAAATTAAGAAACAAAATAAGCTCCTAACACATAATCTGTCTGACGATGTGGAAAAGACTGAACAATAAAGAAATAAAGATTTAAAAAAAGAGAAGCAAAGGAAGAACATATGATTAATAAATTCATGACACCTTTTAGTGCAAATCCATTCCTGAGGCTGTGGGGTTCCAGGTAACCACAGTGAGTCATTATCAACAGATGAAAGAAACATTGAAAGAGTTGAATCTCCTCAGGACTGGCTGACATCAGATTTAAGCTTTGCTGGCTTCATCCCCAAGAGTTTAACCTGACAACAGCCAGATGCGAGAAATGCATCTGGCTGTTGTCAGATTACCAAGAGTTAAGCTCAATGTTCACAATTCAATGAGAGGAAATGGACTGGGCAAACATGAATTTTAAAATCAGAACCACTACTTTTTAAAAAAAGACAAAGGACCTATCTCACATTTTTTTCTGAAAAGCAGGTCAATACTTTCAAAGTTTGTGGACTAATGAGGCTCAAGGAAAGGGTTTCGGAAGGTCGGCCTCCTGGACAGGATATTGGCAGTTATTCATAGCGGTGTTATGGCTGATCATATAGCTCATGGCTTCAAGAATGTCCACAGTTAACAGTTGATGATGCTAAGCTCAAGCATACTTTTTTTTTTATGAGGGAAGACAATGAAAGTCCAAAGAAGAACCGGAAGGCATATTTTTTAAATGCCTGAAAAACTCTAAATCAGTGTTTTGAAAGTTAATTTCAAAGTATGAATTGTCAGTCTGCTGGTTTACTTGTGGTTCCTTGAATTTCTAAAAGTAGAATGGGAGGCAGATCTAGTCGTTATCAGGCTCCTCTCCTGTGAAACCAACCACCAGTCTTAATCTTTGAACCTTTGCAAATTTTCTGTCATTTGCACTTTTGCAAAAAATCTCTGATTCATTTTAACACCGGGCTTTAAAATTTTTGTTTTGATAAAGCTTATGGTTAGAGTAATTCAGGTTCCTGAGGTATCTGTTTAGTTATGCTGCTATCGCCTTAGACTGTTAGAGGACATGGGGACCACTTTTGATCATCTCCTTCATTCTTTCTCTGTTCTCCAATTCTGCAGTATTTGTTAATTTCTCTGATTTTTCTCATCATACTTCATTTAGTCTGGTTTTGTTTGGCTGTGACAGGAGGGAAATCAGAGAACTCTGATCAATATGAAGTTGCCAGTTGACATCTTATAAATACTTTATTAATCCCCGAAGGGAAATTCATAATTACCTCTGTGCAGAATTCAGTTTATTTATATAGTGCCAATTCACAAAAAGGCACTTTACAATTCAATGTCATTAGAATAACCTATTGACATAAGATTCTTTATGCAATCTATTTTTTTATACATAAGACTATGTTATTCTTCTGTGGATTAAAAAAATCTGAGACTGAGACTTCGTGGAAAAAGCCTCTTTGATTGTCAATGCCAAAATTATCAAGCTTGGATCTGATCACTAAAAAATTAACAGGAACCTTTTAAAATTTGATCAGTTTAGTTCAGCATGCATTGTAGTACAAGGGAATAATGACATGAATGGGGTTAAAATGAGAAATAACTAAAGAATCAATTGAAACCAACACATCAAACTGAAGAAAAAGAACAAACAATGCACTCCTTAGAGAGGGAAATTTGATGCTAAGATTTCCCCCAAGAATGCATTTCCCAATAAACATGGGAGGAAAAGCCAGTCGACAGTAAGTGAGCAAAAACCAAAGAGATAGTGTGTGCCCTTCTTACAGGGCCCATTACCTGGACCCTAGGGGTAAAAGGCGTTGTTCTTCTACTAAGGCTTTGGCTCTGGATAAACAAAATTCAACAGCAAAAGAAAAGAAAGAAAAACAATATGCAATAAAACCAAAAAACTCACATTTCACTTAGAAGCAACAACCAGAGTTTGTTGTTTACACCTGGACATCAGTGGCCGGTTTATCCTCACTTACACAGTGACTTAAAACCAAAAATGGACTCTACACTCCTCTCTATTCTTCATGAGATACATTTTTTTTCAAGTTTTCTTAAGCTTAAAGTCTTATCTTACAGTCTTCTCTCTGCCTTATAAGATTGTGTTACAATCAAAGTTCTTAAACCCCCAGTCAAGATAATAAGTCATCCCTATAACCAGCCATAATAACAATCAAGCATTAGGAATTCAGTTTATATAGTCTGAATCTTTAATACAGGACATGACATATTTGTATTGCACAGTTGAGTGTGAGCCTCATTAAGTACTATAAAAGTACTATGATTTACAAAAGAAGAAGAAAAACACTTGGTTAGAGACATATTTTGCCAAAATATCTTTTTTTCGAATAGATACATTTGGAGCAATGCGTGTAATGGAGATATTTTTCTCTTTTCAGAAACAGTATTAATTGGAGAGTTAATTTCTTCATGGCTTTATTATATCTCTTTACCTATTTCTACACCAACATTTGTATACAACATAAAGAACAATACAGTTGGAAATCTGATCCAGAGTCCTGGACTGGATTGGCAAAATGCATCAGACTGACTAATGAAAGCAAAACACAGGACACATGAAAATTGTCTGAACTAAGACACTGAGCCATTGTTTGCCTCTTGCTCCTGTCCACATTTCTCATATTTCAGTCACAAATTTCAATGTAATTTATTGGGATTTTATGTGGGACCAACAAGAAAGGTTAAATGTGAAACAAAACAAAAAAAATTAATAACTCCAGTTTTTACAGAAAACTCATTACAGTGGCGTGTGTTTCAACTATTTTAAATTGAGACCCTTCAACAGAATCTATTCAAGACATTTGCCTTCAAAGGTCAGCTAATTAATAAAAGTGTGCTGTACTCCTAGAATATTATTTTAAGACTTCAGGTTTGTTTGATAGGATTAGTGAACAAACAATCCAAAACATTTCGGAAAATAGTTAGGAGCATAAATACTTATTTAAGGTGATGAATAGTTTCATGTTGAATGCCCCGTTTATAACAACCATTAATCCGATTCAAAATGCTTTAAAAATTCAGTTTTCCTGTTTTGCTGCATGTTCAAAGTTGATGTCACTTACTGAGAGCTGTCCTGACAGGTACTGTGGGGCGTCCCGCAGCAAACTGGGACTCATCGGGGATGTGACAGAGATTGAGGGCCGATCCATCTTTTGAGACTCAAAAGAGCTTGAACCTGTAAGACAACAGAAGCACAGTTGGAAAGGATTGTGTTGACTTTATAATTAATGATTTGGTTTAATCCGAAGTTATTAGGAAGAGACCCAAGACAGATACACTGAATGTCACAATTCTTTTGCCTTGTAAGGTTAAAAAGCTAAAGGAAGAACAAAGTGGCAGAAGCATCTTTGAGGCATATCATGGCCTGTTTTCACAGTGGGATCCTGAAGGTCTCTTCTCAAAAAAATTTACTTCCCCAAACTTTAAATCAACCCATGTTGGTTTTATCTTCTTCGGACATTGATATCCTACCAAATAATGCAGTTCAGAATGCAATAAAAAAAACTGATACATCATCAAAATTACATTGCTTTAAAGCTGTTACACTTTAAAACTGGACTGACATTAAAGACATCAAAGATTCGTACAAAAAGAAGTCCACATTTTCTGACGGATTTATTTTTCGAGTCCAAACGGTGTTTTATTTTGAAAAATGACAGGATTCATTCTGTTAAATCCGCTTATGAATCGCTGTTGGTGTATGTTAGTCACAAATCTTTAAAATTAGCAGATTTTATTGTTGTATATAAATGGTAATGCTGCAAGACTGGCTGTGTCAAGAGTTTAAATGCTATATTTATGAATAAAAATACAGAAACACCTTTGTGCTATTTAAATTTAACCAAAAATTAAGAAAATTAGATCAATTCGAAAGCTTGGTATATTGAAACAGTGGAATCCATATTCCACAAAGCTACCATCCAAAAAGGGTCCTGCCTTTACAGCAGGGCTGTTTAGGGGGGGAATTATATCAGCTTTTTTCAGATTTTGTTCTGCTTCCTGTTGCTGAAGCTCAGGGGAGGAGAAAAACAGCCCAAAAAATGATCTGAGCTCTGAGAAGGTTTGTTAAAGGGAACATGTGCGGTTCCAGGCAGCAGCCGAAAGGGACCAGAACACCAGCAGAACTGGCCCAGGATTCTGTTTTAGCTCCTGTACTGAAGACATAATAGAAGATCCATTTGTTAGGATGATTTGTGCCACAGAAACTGAATCTGATTGGTCTCTTGTACCAATTAATTTTTTTACATTCACAGATTGATTTAGGCAAATATCTCAAAAAGAGCACTTTTAGCTCAAGCCATATTCATCTGCTTATCAGGTATATGCACCCCCCAGTACCACACCCACCTCTTGGCTCTCTTATATTGATCTATTAAGCATTTACATTTCTTTTATGTTATACTGCAATTTAAAAAAATCACCACTTAGTTAAAGCACAACAACTTAATCAAGGTCTTTACAGACATTCAAATACTATAACAATATCACTTTCCAACAGATTATGAGAATACTCACTTGATTCCAATTGTGCATGTGTGCTGTCAGGTATCCTTGGAACATCTCTGAAAAAATAAAGAAATAAATTATTGATGATTGAAATGAACAGCCTGATAAGGAAGATTACTTGACCAGCTTTTCTGCATGGTTAGGGTATTGCGTTAGGTCCCAGAGGTTCTGAGTTCAAGCCCCACTCCCACGGATTGCCACTCTGTGTCCCTGAGCAAGACCCTTGATCCCACACTGCTCCCCGGGCGCCGCACAACGGCAGCCCACTGCTCCCAAAGGGGATGGGTTTAATGCAGAGAGTGAATTTTGTTGCTTTGTACTTGAGACAGTATAATAACAATAAGGTTGAATTCTATTCTTCTATAGGGGTCAGGGTGGAAGTTCTGACACAGCCTGAAAAGGTTTTTTTTTTCCATATAAAAGAACAAAACGCATCTCAGCATGATAACATGAAGTTATACAAACCAGGATCCATCCTTAGAGTGGTTTGATGGCTCTTTCTGAACCTTACATATTGAACTTCGTATGTCCTTAGCTAGAATTAGCTTTACTTTTTAAAACTAGGAAAACTAGGATGAATAAACTTATGTTTAATTTAGACATTTACATTTCTTATCAATTTGCAGCTACAGTTAAGCATTTTATTCTTTTATGTCGAGCATTGTGTTAAAAAAGTTACCAGTTGGTGAGAGAGGCGTTAGACCAGGGGTCAGCAACCCAAACTGCTCAAAGAGAAATTATGAGAATAAAGTCGTAAAATTACGAGAACAAAGTCCTACAATTACAAAAAACAAATTGTATTTTATGACAACTCCTACAAGAAGCACTGTCTTTCCTAAAATTAGGAATTTCGGCCATCATGTGAAGTTATACTTGGTCTCTGGTTTCACAGATAAGGAAATCTTTTAGCACCAGCATCAAATTGGGCAGATGGTCAAAGTGGACTCAGGTTGCTGATTGGCAACATTTATTCTCATAATGTTACGACTTTATTCTCGTAACGCTATGACTTTATTCTCGAAATAGAAGACAAATGAAAATCTCTAGTCTGGCCCTCATACTCTAATCTAATAATCTAATTCTTAGATTAAAAATCCTCCAGGGTTAATTTTTGCAGGATAAGGAGGAGCTATTGCTCAGAAATCAGAGCTCATGGAGATTACACAGAGAATCGTGAATCAACAGAAATACCACTTGGTGCATGACTTTAATTACGGAATATTATTATAAGAAGGCTAAAAGCAAAATCATTTATGATATACACCCTATAACAGGTTTTGGAGAGTGGCCATGCATGCAAAGGGGAAAACTGTAAGTTTCATGCAGAAAGGGCCTTCTTGTTGCAAAGCATTAGTTTTAACAAATGTCTCACGGAGAAACCCAAGATCAAGACACCCTGCTGCACCAGGGGATGATGGGATTAGTGTCAGTGTTTGGTCTTTCAGGGTGTCTCAGGACATATTGTGTTCAGACAGCTAATCTATTATAAATAAAGGTGTTTCAGGTAAAAGTATCCTTGAAACATTTTCCATGTCTGCATTTAGCACTGTCTGGATTCACGTGGGACAGTCACAGTTTGGTCGTGGCAGGTGTTAGAGGAGTGATTCTATACACTCACCCTATGGGCCGTGAGACCACCAGCTCTACCTGAGGCTCAGGCTTGGATTCTAATATGATATTGTAAACTTCTTTGAATGTAGCTCCTTGTAAAATCCGGCCGTTCCACTCCAGAACCTGGTCACCTGCAAAAACACAGTATGAAGTAATCGGTTTAAACAAATGGCAAAGCATTATAAACTATGGATGAGGAGTGAGGTTAGTCTTGAGGTGTTTGTGATACCCGGCCTGAGGTGTCCAACTGTGTCCGCAAGACTTCCTTTCCTGACTTTAGTGATAAAAGCACAAAGCCTCCCAGATTCTGTCATCTTGCCTCCAACTACCTGTAAAAGTAAACATTGAGCACTGGATCAGCATTATAAACATGCAGCACGGTGTTTGGAGGTTGAATAGAGTTAAATATATATTTTTAGCTGTTTGGTTGATGCAAGTACTTTAGGAAGACCATAAAAGATATATAGCTAATGCATAATAGAAATTTATTAATAAAAGTGGACTTTTAGCTTCTAAAAAAGCAGTCTGTGGCTTCTGCTTCAGTCCTCAGGCATGCACTTTAGCACAGCTCTGTCATCCTGTAACAGCCGTGGGCTAAGGCTGCACTGTACACCCCTGCACTCAGCTTACACTGGCATCATACAAAATAAAAATCCCATTTAATGGCAGCTGAATACCAACATACAAAGAAGCTTAGAGAAGTCCACTAAATGAAATGGCTTTATGTAACACACAGGAGCTCAAAGGGAATGCTTGCAGAGGAGATGAGAGAAAGATGGTCAGTGAAGGCGAGGCTGGCAGCCTGACGGATGGCCGGCTGGATTGTTGAGCTGGTTGGCTGCAGCTGCTGAGCGGACAGAAATGCACAGAAGCACTGAGCAGACACAAACATGCCATTTCAGGAGGTTCATTCAATCAGTAATGATTTTTCCCCATCTTGCTGCTTTAGGTTATCTCTCCTCATGGCAGGCTTTGTGCAACAGTAGCAAAAGACTGCAACATCCCCAGTGGCATAACTACTTTCATGAAACATGCTTTTAGCAATTATCAAAAATGATTATCTTAATTCCCGTTAATAATACTTCAAAAGTGGTGTGTTTTATCAAACTATGTACATTTTGCAGGAATGAATTAATGAACTTATATATATATATATATATATATAT